TTTTATTGTCGTTTTTCCTCACTAATGTATTCTCATTCTCTTTCACTCCCAGTAACCCATTGTGAACTAGTGGCATTATTGTCTTTCTTGGGTGAAATCATTAAAAAAAAGAAAATCTTATATGGTAACAATTTTAATCTTATTTCAATTATTTTCATTCTGAAAAATAATATATTGTTCAATATTAACAAATATTTCTGTTTCTTTCCTTTTTCACTTTATGTTAAATTTTTATATTATGAATGGAATTTTAAGAAAGAGATTTCATACTCACATTGACAGAACTTTGAGACCAGTGGGGTAAAGAAATATGAAACACGTTGTCACAAGGTAAATTGTATCCACTAGTAACAGCAATGTCATAAATTGATATACTAGAGTGTCTGTAACATTCCTGTTGTAACTCTGGACCAGCATCTGCAAGAATGGCCTTTGAAATTGCTCCTGAAGACAGATCCAGGGAATTATTGGTGGTGTTGACAATCACATTACACTGAAATGTAGTATGCAGGTTTATGAGAATGATTTTAGATTCTAATAAAATTAAAAAATAAATGAAGAGAAACTATATCTGTCAAGTTTATTTTTAAATTCATATTTTTCCATATATTCTTATTGTTTAAATTGGAAAATAAGAGTAAATATGTTGATAATATTTTTTGTAAATATCACAAGTAAATAGTTATATTGAAGATATTGTAAAAAAAAAAGAAAGTTTTTATAATGACAGCACAAAATAAAATAATAGATCCAAATTATAATTTAAATAAATGTAAAAATACAAAAGAATACAATAATAGGACAAAAAATCTTAATCATTTAAAAATTTTCAAAATATTCCAGGAAAGTATATTAAACCCTGTAAACTCCCAGGAGAGAACAATAGCTTTATCACACTAGGTTTATTTGGTTACCATAGCAAATAAGTTTTTTCAAGGTGAAGTTGCTAGCCCAGTGTTTAACTGGTTTTGGATTCATCTCTGTCCTTCTAGACTAGTTAGCAACCAAATCTTGCCTATTAACCCCAAGCTTGAGATGGATTCATACCTGTGTGAAAGTGAAGGCAATGGCCTTGACTGACATTCAAAACTTTCAGAGAAAAAATTGAAACAGTTCATATACAAGGGGCATTCAAAAGGTTCATGGAAAAATGAAATTAAAAGCATACATTTTTATGTACAAGCTTTATTTCTCCACAACATGAAGGCACTTCTGTAAGCAATGATGTCAGCCATTTATAGAATCCTGAAAGGACTGAGAAGTTAACAATGACAAAACATCATCTTTTATGCCATTAGTGATCTTAAAAAAATCAGTACTTCTGAAAACGTTTTATTGTTGGGAATAAGAAAAGGTGTTTAGTCAGGACTATAAACTAAATGACTATATCAGCTGTGTTCTGAAATTTGGTGAGTGTAAACACAAGCTATGAAAAATTTTCAAAAATGACAAAGAAAATTACACCACTATTTAATATGTAAAAATTTATTTTCACTTTAGCAATTTTTTTAACACTAACATTAAATCATGTTTTTAACAATTTTCTTATAGACTAATAAAGAAAATTCATTCAAACTTCATTTTTTTTCAACTGGTATTATTTTAAAATCATTATATATATATATATATATATATATATATATTATATATCAGAATGCACTCAGAAAAAAAAAATTTAATGTAAAAAAAAAAAAATTATATTGAAAAGAAAAAATAATAAAAAATGACTTTAACTAAAGATGTGCAACTAAATGTAATGTTAACTCAGTTCATTCAATTCCAACATATCATTTCAGTGTTCTTTAACTTCCATGGGATATTGAAGCAGAAAACCCTCAGGATATCTCTATTAACCATGATACTGGATGCAGTACATCACCTGGGCTTGTAATGTCAGTAATAGACAACTACCAATTTTTGGCATCATCTGATGAATCATGGTTCCAGTTATTTTGAGATGATGGAAGAATTTGGGTGTGGCATAGAACTCATGCAGCCATGGACCTCAGTTAGCAACAAGGCTCTCTACAGGCTAGTGATGGTTCTATAAGGTCTGCAGTTCTTCCTAAATATGTCATTGACCAGTAACCATTATGCTGCACAGCTTCATGACCATATGCATCCATTCATGTTCCTTTAACAACATTGAGCTATACCAACAAAACATTGAGCTATACCAACAAAATAATGCTCAAGGTCAAATTGTAGAGAATTGACTAGAGGAGCATTCTAAAAATTTCTGATGAATAATGTGGCCACCCCATGCACTCAGTCAGTCATTTATAGGATATGGTGCAAAGGTCTATTTGCAAGCACGATTCTACAGCTGCAAATATCATGAGTTGTGGACAGTTATCAAGGCAGTATGACTCAACATCTCTCCAGAGATCACTTGTGGAATTGATTCACTTCACCAGGCTAGAAGGGGTCTAATTTAATACTGAGCACTGAGCCCATAATTTTCAGTCTGTCAGTGTATAACTCAATTTCATTATGTTGATTGCAGACATTTTGGCATTGATGAAAATCTTTTAAATATTTTAATACCTTTATCTTGTTCAAAAATCCAAGTACTATTTCAGGGTTATTTTGTGACTTTTGAGCTTGAGATGTTCTGGCTGGTAACACTGGTTTTTTAAACTTGGCTGAAAGAAAACACATTTTTATATAAAATTAGGACACAATCTTCTGGGAAAACAAAAAATGACAATAAAAATTGCATCACTATTTAATATCTGAAATTTATTTTCAATTTAACGATGTTGAACTTTTACACCAACATAAGCCATATTTTCAGAAATTTTGCTATGGGCTAATGAATAAAATTAATCTTTACAAATTATTATTTTTTTATTTTAAAACCAAAATTTATATATATATATATATATATATATATATATACATATATATATACATATATACATATATATTGGAATACATTTCAATATAATTCATTTAAAAATAATCTGAATGCACATAAATTATGGCAATGCATGAAAAAATAAATGGAATGTAGTAAAAAAGAATTTTAATGCACTAAAAAATAATTACAATTTAGCAAAAGAATAATTCTTTCACAGCAGACAAAGAAAATTAATATTGCTACATAAATAAAATGTAACTTCATCTAGAATTATTTCTTCATCATATTCATTGTCACCTTGATACACTACAAAGGGTGTCATTTTGGCGGGGGGATATTCCTATGAACCTTGGTTGAGCTAATTCCTCAAGCAATATACAAGTAAGAAATGTTGTTTGGGTAATTTTAATTTGTGTCTTGTTATGATGATGAACTTAGTAGCTGTAGATATTCTATATACACTGCCTCAAAGTTGCCTGTGAGCTATAGTTAAGTTCTCTTTATGATAATTACTTATTAGCTAAACCAATCCCATTACATCTCCCTGAATTTTTGGGTTTCACACTCTCCATGGATCTACAGATTCTCCTACATGCCCTTCCCTTCTCACTGCTTTCACAAGCATTTCTCATTATGGGGAACCTTGATCAGGTTCTTTTATTCACAGTGTCCCATGTTTCATACTCTGAGTCTTCTGAAGAAATTTGATGATCCATTGATTCCTCTGCGCTGCTTTCTTGTTCATCTACATAGTCATTCGAACGAGCTTCACTTTGTACTTCCTCGTAATTTTGGTTAGCTTTTAACTTAACTGGTCTGCAAGTGCAACAATATTTTTACCATTCTTGAATATTAATGCCGTGTTGTATCCTTTTTGCATTATGAAATTCCCCTTTTCTGGCTCATTTTCTTTATTTCTTTTGTACGATATGTTTTTACAAATAGATTAAGACATGGTTAATGGAGCTCTAATCTGTCTGTCCATTAATGCAGATGGGCTCTCTAATCTGTCAGCATGTGGTATCGTTCTGTAAGTCAACAATAATCTTGGTAGGAAAGTTTCAATCTTACTGAGAAGAAAATATTTTCAATCCCATCTTTATTGTTTGGACCATTCATTCAGCAATCACATTTGGTATGGAGGTGTTTTATATCGAACATAGCCAATCTTCCTTAACCACGAGCATAGAAAGTCATCACAGAAATTGGGAGCATTATCAGTTACTAATGTTTTTGGTACTCCATTTCTAGTAAATATTATGCGTAATACTTGTTTTACAGTAATAGATTTTTTATCCCAAATTTGAAAAACTTCAGGCCAGGTGGAAAAAGTATCAACTAGTATTAGACATAAACCTACCTCGTTAACTTGTGTGTGATTCATATGAACTTTAGATCATGATTCTGTTTCCTTAGATCAAGAGTGTAACTTATTGTGGCGAAAATTCTTTATTTCAACATAATTCTCTACATCTTGGTGTGTCCCAGCGACCACACTTCCAGTTTTAAGCAGTTTTGTGTAGCAATTATCCCACAATGTGCATCATCATATACACTTTAAATTACTTCTTTTCTAAATCCCCACTACAAATTGGACCATTTTCTATGGATAGTTTGTCTGGTTTCTTTGTATGGTTTTTCTGCTTTTGAACAATTACTCCATTTATTGTTCCTTATTAGAGTAGTTCACTTCAGCTTGTGTTAATACATCACTGGGTGTCCTTCCAGGGACAAAATTGTCAATACAGACTGGCCACTCACCTTTTAATTTAATGAAGGCTGTTTAGTGTGTGTTCTTGTCCATTCAAACTCCTTATTCTTCTTTCACAACTCAGAAAATGCTTCAATTCTTTCAGAATATTTTGACAAGAATTTGCTATAGTAATTGGCTAATCTGAGAAAGGATTCCAATTCTTTTTTATTCGTTGGAGAAGATACTGTTGCAGCGGGCCGAGAGGTGTGAGAGCCAATCGACCGTACAACTAAAAAGGGGACACAAAGGCAAGGAGATGGCAATAGCAAAGAAGGATGACAAACGCAGATGGTCCGTTGTAGACAATGGAAATCGTGTCTTTATTTGCGAACAATGGATGGTAAGAAGATAGAGGTCGAAGGTGTTTGTAACAGGCGCTGGACGTCAGTGGGCACTGGATAAGGTCATCAGCAGGTGTGTCCGGACGAGCTGCGGGCGCTGGACGTCAGCTGGGCACTGGATGCAGGGGTCTGGAAACTGCAGGGGGTGCTGGAAGCTGCAGGGAGCTGGAAGCTGCTGGAGAGCTGCAGGAGAGGCAGGAGTGCTGGAAGCTGCAGGAGTGCTGGAAGCTGCAGGAGTGAGCTGGAAGTGCAGGAGAGCTGGAGAAGGGACAGTAGCGAAGAGTGAAGTGAGTGGAGCCTTGAAGAGTGGTGATCGAATGACTTTCGGAAGGTATCCCTGGAAAAGACTGTTTGAAACAACTGCTGCTGGGTGCTGGGTTGGCTGCTGGGCTTGGTCGACTTGACTGGGCACGTCAAAGTTGCGAATCAGGAGGCTTCCTGCTCCCCCGGGCCGGAGGTATTTACTTGACTCCCACGAGGTCAAGATGTGACACAAGGTCGTTTTTCGTGGGATGACTTGACTCCCACTGGGTCCAGAAGTGACACCAGGTCAAGCGTTTCCGGGAAAACCCAAGCGTTTTTGGTCATAACATGTCCAAGCTGGTACTGGTCAATGATTGGTCATAACATGTCCAAGCTGGTCAAAGCTTAGTCAATGTTTTGGTCCAAGTTGGTCTTGGCTTGTCTTAGTAGGTCCTGATATGGTCCAAACTAGACTTTGCCTGGGTCGCAACCCAGCCGAAGGCGGGCTGCTCCCAGGCCGGCTAAAAACCGCTGACGAAGTCTTGGGGATCTGAGATATGACGGTTCATACTTGAGAAAGGGGTGACGCTAAACAACCCAAAATGAATATAATTAATTCCGCCTGGGCCGTTTTAATTACAGTCAAAATTCCGGGCCGTATTAATTGGTGTTCGGTGTTTGTTGACTGTATTTAAATTAATTTCGGTTCAAAATTAAAGGTCTTTTATTTTTTGTTTAGTGGCAAAAATTGAGTTTTGTGTGTTTCTGACAGTTTGAAAGGATGTCGTTGCTATTTTTAGCACACAAGGGCCGTGACCTTTCTTTACCGGCAGGCATAGCCGGGGTTGTTTAAGAAACGGATGGGAGTGGTGTTTGGGCACATTTTTGGACAAGGCCCTCTCTCAGGATAATTGATCATTATCAATTAGAAGAAAATATATGTCTTGTACTTCTTAGGGAAGGTGTGGGATTTCCTTCCAAGACAGGTCTGCCTAGGTGGAGTGATGGGTGATTCTGGGATTGGCTCTGACCTCGGTTGTGAAGGTTGCGATTGCGTGGTTGTTGAGGCAGGTGAGGGTTCTGGGTGTGTTGAAAAATCGGGTTCTGTCTCCAAATGGAGACTTTTCAGAAAAGCTGGTTTGACTCTGTCGATGGAGATGGTGTCCGTCCGGCTTCCTCAATCAATGGTGAGATGCTTCTCAGAGCGTTTTAAGACTTTGAATGGACCCTGGTATAATTTGGTGTTAGTGGTTTCTTTACCGTCATCATTTTAGGACAAAAATGAACATTTGCAGTTCCTGAAGCTGTTGTGGAACGTGGATAGTTGGTGATGATTGCCTGGGTGGTGATATACTTCAGTTGGGCCATTTTATGGCAAAGTTCTTTTGAGTGAAAGGACTTATAGTGGTTAGGTACCAGTTATGGTGTCGTCGAAATATTGGCCGGGTAAAGACAGTGCTGTATTTAAGACTATTTCGGCTAAAGTGCATTTTAAGTCTTCTTTTGAGTGTTTTCTATTTTTTGACAAAAGGATTGAAGGGTAGCTCGTCTACCCAGTTGCTGATGGGATGTTTTAATCTTAGAGAGGCCTTTAGTGTTGGGTGGAACCTTTCCAAAAGGCCGTTAGCACAGGGATGGTAGGCGGTGGTTGAATTGATGTGTTTGCTTTTAGATTTTCAGTAACAGTGAATTCCTGAAAGAGTGAGGACTGAAACTGCGCGCCGCGGTCTGTTTAATTTGTGGTGATGATGTTCAATAAATCTATTTTTTGCAAAATTTCTCCTGACGGATGGTCTTTGCTACATTTTGCTACCATGAGGTATCTCTGATTTTACATTGTGGTTTGCCACCTGGAGAAACGGTCGACCACTGTGAGGAGGTACTGATAATTCTGGCATTTTGGGAGGTCAAAATATTAAACAATTCGATGTAGATATGGCTGAAAGAATGCGTCAGGGTTGCTGAATGTGCCTGGCAATTTTTTGTGTGCGGTGTACCTTAATTTCTGGCACTTAAGGCGTTTAAACCCAATTTTAAGAAAACAGTATTCATGTTATTTGAGTGAAATGATACAACAATCAAATTTGAAACCAAAATACAAACCTTTGGGATGTGACAATCCATGGAGGTGGTTTGAAATTTTGCCTTCTGAGTGCGGAATTTATGTCAAAGGGTCTAGGGTGATCCAGTTTTGTATCTTCATACAATTTTTTTGTTGCTGAAGGGTGATACGGAAATTCTTTCAGTTGCAGGGATGTTTTGGCTAGGACTTCCAGGGAGGGTAACATTCTCATTCCTGGGCCTCTGCTATCAGGTCCTGATTGATATGGACTGTCTTGCACTGTGTTGACATCAAATCTGGATAGGGCATCGGCAACAGAGTTGTCTTTTCCTTTGACATAATGAATATCGGACTTTTTGAACTGTGAGATATAGTCTAGATGTCTGATCTCATGAGTTTTTATATTTGTCGAAGTTGTTCGACAGGGAAGTTGTCAAGGGTTTATGGTCGGTCAAAATTTATTGATGGAATTCCGGCCTTCCAGTAGATGTCCCAATTGTTGACAATGTAATTGTATATGACATTAGTTTCAAAAAAGTTCTTTCAGTGAGATACTTTATCTGGACTGGGCTGGTACAGATAATTTGTTAGCCGAGAAGAATGCGATGGGTTTGCATTGGTTGTCAACCTCCTGTTCTTCCATTATTTTTCCAACTCCAGTGTCTGAGTCATCTGTTGTTAGATATATCTGAGTCTGGGTGTCTTCGTTAAGATGTGCTAACTTCGTAAAGTTAGCGGTTTTTTTCTTTTGCTGCTTGGAATGATTTTTTCATTTTCAGCCCTCAGGGTGATGGCTTTGTTTTTTCTCTGGAGAAGATTTGTCATTTTGAGGGGGTGAACAGGAGTTTTGATGCATCCGGGGATAAACCTTGCAGTACCATTTAATATTACCATCCAGAAAACACAATGTTTGTATCCACTTTTTTTAATTTTCACCTTTATATTTTGGGCATGGGGAATGAAATCCTAAAACTAAAATGATGAGGTTTGAATTTCTTTTATCTTAATGTTGGACTTTTTTTCAATGATTCCCCTTCTGGTGATCTTTAGCAATGTGTATTGAATGAGAAAATGTCTGCAATAAAATTTTCATTGTCAAAGTAAATTTGTATATTGTTTTTGGATTCGGAGGTTATTTCTTTCACTTCAAAAGATGGCAGATGGGATGTGAACACTTCCTCATGTTATTTGTGGAGATGCTTTTACAGTTTCTGCTAGTTTTTTCTGGGATGTCATCATCAATGTATTCTCAATGAACTTTCATGACTGTAGACCAAACAGAATTTTGGGGATCCATCACTGAACTTCTGGAACGTCTTTGGGCTGCTTTGAAACCTCAGTCCAGAATTCATTTTAAGCTTGAATTCAAACAGTCCTTATATAATCATTGTAGGTTTAATGTCAAAAACTGCTGTTTCTTTGGGACATTTCGAGTAACTGGAACTTGGTAGTAAAATTTGGCATGGTCAATTTTTTAAGAAAATGGGGGCATGAATGTAATTACCTGCCAACAAAATGTTTTTTCAAAAGGCATGGATATCAGAACGTTTTTAGGCTAAATAGCCGGCTGGGGCACTTTTAATTCTCTTGAATTGGCTATACTTTTCAAGATATTGGACATCAATAAAATTTCCGATTGACTTTTTCCTGAATATGCTAATTTTGGGTCACCAGATGCCAGTTTGGTTAGGGATATAACATATGGGCTGTTTTCACTTTGGGTCGGAAAATTATTGACAGGAGAGCAAGACTCCTAAAACTCTTTCATTGGCATATTTTAATTTTTTCCATCCACCTGCATCAAGTTAGGTGAGACAAAAAATAAATATTGATTGGTTAAAATCCAATGGTCTTTATATTTTGTTCATTCTGATGGATATAAAAGTTTACATTCTTTAAAATTCTTTGATATTTGGAAAAACTGTGAATACTATTGTTCTAGTTATAGATATGAATGAGAGTTCCAGCCTATCTGCTGCTACCAGTTTCACAGGCAGGATTTGTGTATCAGGTTCTGCCAGTGACTTAGATTCTCTCTATTTCACATATACAAAACGTTAATCATAAACTCTGTGTCGTTCTGTGTTACATATGTGGTGAATATATGGTAAAAGGGCATCAGTTCAATGTTTGAGATTTCACTGAGAAATATCAAGAGAATATCAAGCTTACTTTGGTGTGAAGAATGGGGATCAAGATAAGTCATGGGCTCCTCACAAAGTTTATAAGAATTATACTGAAACCATTTGCTTGTGGACCCATGGTAAAGTCAAGTCAATGAAGTTTGGGGTACCACTGGTGTGGTAAGAGCCCCCAAATCATTATGACGATTGCTACATCTGCATCGTGAACGTGTCAGGAGGCAACTGTCACAAAAAGTAGTCACACTATCCTGATATTGAATCTGAAAGTTCAACATTGTAATGGTGTTCCCATTCCAGTTTTTACTTCCTTGTCTGATTTTGAGAAAGATCATGACGCTATGAATATTTCAAAAGCAATGGATGAAGCTAGCAACAGCAGTTGTATTTATCATTTGCATTTGGGAGATTTTCAGGCTGTAAAAGTGAAGCTTTTCACACAGTGTGAACTGAATGACTTGGTTAGAGATCTAGCTTTATCAAAAGAGGCATCTCAGATTTTGGGCTCCCATCACAGTGAGCATCGTGTTCTTGACCCTGAAACTAAGATAACATTTTGTTCTAACAGAGACAAGGAACGTGTTTGTTATTTTGCAATAACATCCAAGGTCTTCTTTTATCAATGGGACTGCCTAAGTACAATCCAGCTGAATGGCATTTATTTATTTAAACTTTTGTTAGGAAAGCAAGGTGGTTTTACCAAGTATCCATGTTTCCTTTGTCTATGGGAGAGCAGAGCCAACAATCAACACTGGGAAAGGAATAATTGGCCTATTCATGAAGAGCTTGTTGTAGGGATGAAAATGTTATAAATGAACCTCTGGCTTATCGTGATTGCATCATCTTACCCCCCACTACATATCATGTTGGGCCTAATGAAACAATTTGTCAAGGTATTAGATTAAGATGACACATACTTCAGTTATATCTGCTCAGAATTTACTGGTGTGAGTAATGAGAAACTGAAGGCAGGAATTTTTGATGGGACACAATTAAGAAAACTGATTAACAATGAAAATTTTGTCTCCCACATGACTGAGATTGAAGCTGCCATGTAGCTTCTTTTGTTGTAGTTGTAAAAGGCTTCCTGGGAACAAAGAAAGTGAGCAACTACCAGGAACTAGTCAAAGTGATGCTAAAAAACTTCCAAGCTCTTGGAACAAGAATGAGTAAAAAAAAAATCCACTACCTATTAAGCAATTTAGCCAGATTTCCTGAAAATCTTGGTGATGCAAATGAAGAACAGGAAAAATCTTTCCATGAAAACATCAAAATTATGAAGGAGTAGTACTAAGGCCAATGGAATACCGACATGATGTCTGATTACTGTTGGACTGCACTCAGAAAACTCACAAGAAGTCATATTATTGATGTTTCCTTCAAATTAAAAAAAATACAATAACCTGGATGGCTTGTATTATTGGGCTTGTAAGATATTATGTTGAATAACTTAAATTACATATTTTGCTAGTTTACTTTTGGTGTGATAATTGATTGGAAATCATATTTTGTAATTTTTCATTAATCTCTTGTAATAAATGAGGATAGAACTAGGAAATGTTCTGGCTCTTTTTTGCCCATTGTTAAAATAGTAGCATGCTGTCAGTAACTATCACATTTGAATTATTCATATACAATCAGGAAACTTAAATAAAAGTGATACATTTATTAAACATTGTTTGATTATCAATTAATAGACTAAATAGCATAGTAAATTTGGATTTGTTGCGATATTCATGCACTAATAAAACAATAATCCAATTAGTATCATTGCGTACAGATTCACAGACATGGAAAACACATTTCAGCAATATCTTAACAACTAGAGCCAATTAGACAAAACCAATGTTCTACTCAAATTCAGTGACCCAAATATATCCCAGAAACAATCTCACCTAATATGCCCAACAAAAATTTGTTGGCTAGTATCTATTACGGTCAAATAGTGTGAAAAAGAAAATTGGCATTTGAAATCAATCTTTTCTTGTTCTTTAGATTAATTGCTGATGTAGAATACAAAGAAATAGAATACAAAAGTTTACTGAATTGATTAATACAATGAAATCTTGGTTTATTCAATGACAATATACATAAGGTTTTTAAGATGAGAAATTCATCTAATGAAGATTTCACAATTAATATTAATTCAAAAATCCTCTTTATACCATTTTTTTTTTACATGAAAATAATCAAATTTTTATAAGCTGAGTCTGGAAGTGAGTTTGCTTTTACAAATTGAAATTTAAAGCAGAGACATAATTAATGAAATTGCTACTAATTGGAAATTCATATGTATATTATATACAATTTATATGAAATATATATGAGTGGATGCTAAAAAGTTCTTATTTCCCAAAATCCAACCCAATAGCCAAGTATAAAAAATTTTAGAGGTCCATTGGGAACTTTACAATACCCACTTATAATAAGCAGGAAAATATTTTCCCATATCAAGAGGGACACAGGATTAAATAGAATGAACATGGCAGTGTTTTTGAGTCAAGTTGCTGCATAATATTCAGATAAATGAAACAATTTTCATCAAAATATGTATTACTTATGGAATATTAGATGAATGAACTGAATTACTCAAAAAAAAAAAAGGAAAAAATAGAAGAGAAATCTCCTAAGTTACTATTAATAATTTTTGATATTCCGGTGTTAAATAAAATTATAAAAAGAGAAATATTGAAAAACTTACGGTCAGTATTCTTAAATGTTACGATATATCTTTTACCAGCAAGACATTTGAAAGAAACAAGATCATCAGGCGAGAGAGGATTGTGAAAATAGTTCTTCAGTATTTCTTCAGTTATCTTGGAAGAAACATTACTCACAATAACTTTGTTAGTAATTGGAATTTGTCTTACTTTAGGATATGTTTCACTGATGTACTTTTTTGATTGAGATTTGCAGATCTGTTTTAATTCTTCAAAATCTTAAAAAGAAAAAGAAAGGAATAATATAATTACCTCCATAGATTTCCTAAAAAATAAGCATAAATGATGAAAAAAAGGCTCCAAACTTAATAAAAATAAGTTTTATTGTCAAAATCTTTATATTAAGAGGAAAGACCAAAGGATTTTGTAATTATTAAACTATATTTTTTTACCCTCTTAAGAAGGTTCAAAATTTTAATATTTTAAATATTTTAAAATTCAATATTTAAAAAAAAGACTTTAAAATTAAAAAAAATATAAAGTATTTAAAAAAATTGATATTTAAAAATAATTAATAGTTAAAAAAAATATTTATCATAATTATATTTAAAGATATTACTATTAAAAAAAATAATTTTAAAATTTCCTATTTAAAGAAAAATTAATATTTAAAAGAATATTTAAAAATAATTAATACTTAAAAAAATGAAAATTTGTTCTAAAATTGAATATAATAAAGTTGAAGTGCAATATAAAAATGTTTTTAAAAAGGTTGGTCAAAATTTAAAGTCCATTTTTCTTTAGAAAAGGAATTATTCAAAATATTAACATGCAAACAAATGCTAAAAAAAAATGTAAAAAATGAATAAGGATTCAGATGTGGAAAAAGTTAATTTTTAATACAAAGAGGTAACATGACAGCCATTAGAGTAAAATATAGAATCAGCATATTAGCATATACGATGAGCAAGATCAAAATTTCCAGGAGAAAGAAATATTTCATTGCAAAGGAAGAGAAGGAAAGGAAAGATATTCTAAAAAGAAAACAAAGTATAAAAGAAGTACAAGTTATAACCTTGCAAACCACCAATGAAACAAATGAAGGCATGATTTCTGATGTCATAGGGCTGAGAGGATTCTGATGCATCTGATGAAGACATGACAATGGAAGAAGAATACACTTAGTACAATATATGATGAACAAGATTTAGATTTCCAAGAGAAAGAAATACTTCAATGTTGCAGTTTTTTTGTATATATTATGTATTAGTGAGCCAGTCCAGATGACTAGACTCAGTTTATAGTCCACCAATAGAAGGTTAACCAATCAGAAGACGTAGAATATTCAATCCATCATGTATAAAGGTGGCCATTTTGTTCACTCTACCTGAATGTCCAGTCCAGCTTATCAGGTGAAGAGAAACAGAAGAACGAACTATGCTCTGCTACCTTTTACCGAAATATCCACTGCTAACCTGAACAACAAATTCCTACTGTCTTCGAAATATTCACTGCTAACCTCTGGATTTTATACTTGAAGACAACCGTCATGATGAACAATATTCAATATAAAGGAAGAGAAGTAAAGCAAAGACATCCTGAAAAGAAAACAATGTATAAAAGAAGCACAAGTTATAACCTTGCAATCTACCAATGAAACAAATGAAAGCATGATTTTTGATGTCATTAGGGCTGAGAGGATTCTGAAGCATCTGATGAAGACATGACAATGGAAGAAGAATACACTTAATACAATATAAGATGAACAAGATTTAGATTTTCAAGGGAAAGAAATATTCCAATAGAAAGGAAGAGAAGGAAAGCAAAGACATCCTGAATAGAAAACGATGTATAAAATAAGCACAAGTTATAACATGGCAAACCATCAATGAAACAAATGAAAACATAATTTTTGGCCGAGAGGATTCTGAAGCATCCGATGAAGACATGACAATGGAAGAAGTATATACTTGTACAATATAGGATGAGAAAGTCTGAGATCTCAAAGAGAAAGAAATATTCCAAAATTTTAATCGAAGGAAAGCAAAGACATACTGAAAACAAAATTTTGTCTAAAAGAAACTCTAAAAAATTTGATATAGGAAAATAACAGCAAGTAATGGTAGAAAAATAAATTACATATTTTTAAGGAGAATAGTGAATACAATAATTCAAATTATAATTTATAATGTTATTTAGGTGTTAAAGAAAATATATAATTAAAACAAAGATGGCAACTGGATAACATGAACTTCATTCATTTGATATCAACTTTTTTTTTTTTTTCAATACTTACCAATTTTGTCAGGAAAACTGATCAACCAAATCCCATGTTTCAGTTTTTCAACATGTTGCACATCCACATTAACTTTTGATTCCACAAAATTTTTCAGTGCATCAGAAGATATATTTTCATTTACATCACAAATCAACACCTTTTTCTCTTCCATCACAGGAGGTACATACATGCTAACTTTCACAGGGTTATTGTCAATCACATGATTCTTCTTTTCAATCACATTTCTTGCAACTAAAAATAAATTATTAGGTCATTTTTTTTCTTTATTTTGAAGTTTATCTTTTAAAACTGGTTGAATATAAAGACAATTGCATTTGACAGATTATAGCAGGGTTTCTAAACCTGATCAATACTGCCCACCAATGGACAATTTCAACTATTGAGCAGGTAATGAGCAACTAAACAGAAAATGATAGGAAACTTGAAATTTTGGTGGGCAATATTTGATTCCAAGTATTAAAAAAGGTATTTCAGTATATTCTACCCACAAAAAAGGAGGTGAAATAGGAATAATTGCGTTATATTTCTAGATAAGATATAAATATGCCTGCAAACAAAGAATATCTTGATATTTTCTATAGTATTGAGAAGGACCATTAATATTCAAATAGTTCTTCAGATGAAATAAGATATTGGGGGGATTTTAATCAACTTATAGAAGACCAAGAACAATAAAAAATATTTTTATAAGTTGCTAATAATGTATATTTCTTTTACTTTTATAATTATGAACAAAAATAATTTAATTTTTTTTGTCAAGGCTTGTATAGAATATAAAGTCTTATGTAATAAGTGAAGCACAAACAAGTAAGAGAAATAACAAATAAATCCTACTAAATTCAGTAGATACAAATTTTTTTTTACAGTTCTGTACAAACACAGCTCCAAAATTAAATAATTGGTTTCTGGAACCTGATTGGATATAACAAGTCATTTAATATGCTCTCTATGACATCTGTGCAGTTGAACTTCAAATGACCTGGAAATAGGTCAAGGCATGGGTTACTTAATACATTCCTGTGCAAAACTCAGATAGAATTAGTGAGCCAATCACCAAGTTATCATAAGCCATAAAAACAGTTCATTAGCCACAAGATCTGAAACAGAGCAGTCAGTGACAAATCTGCAAAAGACAGTAAACCAGGCCATCCTCAACCAATAACTTACCCACACATTATCATGTCAGTGATGATTTTTATTTTTATATACAATGCTACTGTATAAATGTTATTGTCATATTTAGCTTGGACTTTTTCTGCGAAGATTATTGCCTCAAATTCTTTATTATATTGTATTGTAATATGTGGACATGACACTCAGATTTTATTTTTCCACCTAAAAATCTGGGTAGAATGACCCTAATCATAAAACTAAACTTGACCACAAAACTAAATTAATCATATATATATATATATATATATATATATATATATATAAGAAATGGACAAGGTCCGACAATTTATTTTTTAAAGACATTTTTATGTTTAACATTGTTTTTTTATAGATACAAGTATTTAAGTAAATGCTCTGTTTATGATAAACAGTATTAAATAACATTTACCGGCCTGAATGTCCAAGAAATTTTCATAGAAAATATTCGTTCTTTGACAGGATTCGAACCTGCATCCTATACGGAACCGTCATTTACGCTGACGTGCCTTACTTGTATCTATAAAAAAACAACGTTAAACATAAAAATGTCTTTAATAAATAAATTGTCGGACCTTGTCCATTTCTTAATATATGACGTCATTTGTTTACATTTGATACGCCAGAGCAGTTATGAATATACGAGATTCATAGAAGATGAAAGTTTATAAGCAGTAAATTCGACCTTGTCTACCGAACGATTCTTTGTGGCCGATCGCTAAGGCACGTCAGCGTAAATGACAGTTCTGTATAGGATGCAGGTTCGAATCCTGTCAAAGAACGAATATTTTCTATGAAAATTTCTCGGACATTCAGGCCGGTAAATGTTATTTAATACTGTTTATCATAAACAGAGCATTTACTTAAATACTTGTATCTATAAAAAAAACAACGTTAAACATAAAAATGTCTTTAATAAATATATATATATATATCTTTCAATGACCAAGTTTGCTTTTGTTTGTTCTTTAATATATTAGAAGCAGTAGCAACCACATAGGTCAGTGTTATTTGATACACCCTTTGATATTTTCTTTACTACATCATAAAGTCAGTTTATGAATCAATAACAAAATTTATTAAAAAATTTTACTATGCTTTTGAATATTTACTATACAAGTGGCCAGGGGAAAATTTTCCATGCGAAAGTGGGTGATGATACAAACTAAGCTTAGAAACCCTGGATTATAGTCACAAACAAAATAATTTACTAAAAGAATAACATAGCAAAAAGTTGAATGAACAATTGCATGAAGTTAATTTAGAAATAAATTTCCATAAATATGCAAAATAAATGAATTTTCAAGGAAAATGTTCCATTAGGCATAAGGTGAAAGATAAAGCTACATGTAATCTGTCTGCTAAAAGCTGAAGTAACACAAAGATGTGATGAGATGTGCTAAAATCAACAACTGTTTTATTCAAACATTTGCTTGATCTGTTTTGCTCCTAACATTCATTAGTGGGACTGGAAGTGCATATTCAATCATAATCATCATCATTGATATTATCGATGCAAAAGAGTTTTGAAAAATGAAGCTTTTTTAAATTAATTTTGTTGAAAGTTATTCAACTTTCAACAAAATTAATTTAAAAAAGAAAAAATAGAGACAGTTTTGATTGTATTTTAAAAAATAAGTTAGAAAATGCAAGAAAGAATTTTTGACGAGGATGCATCAATTTTTATAAAACAAAATATATCGTCAATATGAAGTCAATTTTTCTAAAAATTATTTCATACATTATCTCATAAAAAAAGATCTGATTATCAACAAGCAAATTGAGAAATTTCTTTTTATCTCACCAGTTGAAGAATCAAATGTAATCTTAATTCCATTTTTCCTATCAAAATCAAAATCTGTGATTTTTCCACCTCTTGAACTCCTCTTATTTTCAAAATATAACATCACCTCATCAGAGTGTAAAGCCTTTGGTACATCATAAACAATAATAGTCCTTTGATCAGAATGAGCTGAAAATTTCTGGGTGTTTTCCTTGGGCAACTCATCTGTTTTTAGTGGCTGCTTAAGAGAAACTTCTAATGTGCAGTTATTATAAGTCAGAGGAGATCTTTCCACAACATGCTTGGCAACTGAAAATAAAAGATGACACACAATTCAGAAACAATCATAAGAATATGTACATATAATTTTTTAATTTTAATTAAATGGTTGATATTTTTAAATAGTTTACTGCACAATTTACACATTAACAGATAGTTCAAAAGCACAATAGAGCACTGCATGCAGTCCACTATATTAAGAGCAATCATTTGTGTTCACTTGATGATTGTTCAAATCTGCCAATAATTGCTTCTGCATCCACTTCATCTAACAATTCCTATTCAATAGATAGCAACCTGTATGATTCCAAATTCTCTTCAATCAGCAAAATTTTCAACCTTGTCTTTATGATCTTTAGCTTTGAAAATGTCTTCTCACATTGAACTTGAATAACTGATTGTGTGAAGATGACTTGATAAAGTTCTTATTCCTTTTTATTATGAAAACAATTGTCTGTATTTCTTTATTGCATTTTATGTGATATCTGTCTTCCTGTATGGCAGTGAATGATGGACAATCTCCTGAAAGATGAAAAGACTTGAAGCAACAGGAATGTGGTTCTGCAGAAAAATGCTGAGGATACCATGGACTGAACATGTGAGCAACAACAAGGTTTGAGAGAAAATAGAAACAAAAAAGAAACTTATACTTAACATCAGGAAGAAGCAGTTGAAGTTTCTAGGACACATGATGAGGAAGGAGGACTTGGAAGATCTGATACTCATGGGACAGGCTGAGGGAAAGAGAGACAGAGGAAAAGACAAAACTTATTAAAAGCTATAAGGGACAGGAAGATTTGGAGGGCCCATGATCACCTATGTCCTGAATGGACATGGCACATACAAGAAAGAAGATAGGGGCTTATTTCATTAGGTCTTCAATTGACATTGAGCAAGCTGATACCTTGGTTACTCCACTATTGGCATCATTAAAGACCTTGTAGAGGAGACCTGACTGTGAGATTTGAGATACCCTGTATAGAAATATATATGTATATATACATGAAAATCTCTGATGAGGGAACTCCAGCAATCAATCTCTGCAACAACCAGAATACATTTGCGCTAAATGTCATGGTGAAGCATGCTCCATTCATGGCAGACTGACTACCCAAATCACTTTTGATGGCTCAAAAATGGATATTGAGGTGTGTTTCTCTTATTTTGGGGATATGCTCTCTGCAGATGATGGTTGTGGGATTGCCATTATAACAAGGTTCTCGATGGTTTAGGGAAAATTCAAAATGCTTCTATCCATTCTCACATCCAAACACATATCATTGAGAACTTGTGACAAATTTTCTGTGTACATATGATCTGCACTGCTGCATGGCAGTGAGACTTGGGTACCAAGTGTGATGAGCTTGCAGTAACTCTGCTGCAATGATCACTTGATGATTTGCTGGATCTGCAGCACCAAGCTTCGGTAGAAAACCTCCTGCATACGAGTTGTTAACAAGGCTCGGCCTTGAGGATATAGTATTATGTGCCTGTCATCATAAATCAGGAGTTCGAGTTCAGGTTTCCTGGTCATAGAGGTCGAGGTAGACTTAGGAAGACATGGAAGGACTGTGTTGGGAGGTATATGCAGGTATGCAGCCTTGCCCTCATTAGTCCACTTGACAGGGATGAGAACTAGCCAACTGCTGCCTACCCCAGTCACCAGGAAACTCACAGCAGTATAATCAAAGATCCAGATATTGACTTGACTTGTACATATATAAATGAGTATTGTAATTTTATAAAAGATGTGCATAAGTAATCAATATTTGATGAGAAAACAAGAATTGTAATTGGTGTAGGAAATATTTCAAAATTAGTCTGACACTCTCCTTAAAGCATTGTGAATAGAAGTCTGTCTTTTTTTTAAAGATCATACATGGACACTAAGAAAATAAGTAAACAAATAGAAGAAATGTAACAAGATACTCAGTGGCTTCAGACACCTTAGTAGGGTGTAAATTGAAGAAACAATATAGAGAATATGTGGTCTGCATGCAGTTTTAGTGAAAGCTTTAAATACTCTATTGAAATGATAATGAATTTAGATATTAATAATAATAATAAAATCTACAGAAGTTCAACTACTTTTCCACACAACATGTACCAGTAAGGAAAGTGACAACAATGTATCAGAAAAACAATTGTGACAAATGGCTTTTTAATGAAAAGAGTCATGTCCATTTACAGTTTTGTGAATCAATTAACAGTGGACAACAGTATAACAATAACAAGACCTAGCAACTGTGGTAGCAAAGAATAGAATCATAAGGGATGACAAGGGAAATTTAGTATCTGGCAATAGATGTTAAGAAAAGTATTTAAAACTAATTTTCTTTCATTGACTATTTGCTAATAATACATACTTATTAAATTGATTTGGTCTTTTATGGCTCATCAATTCTTTTCAGGTTATTTAAAGCCAGGAAATATTTTTAAATTATAAGAATATTTTTGGAAATAATAATGATTTAATGATACAGGTCCTACTAATTAACCCATAGTTGGGGAGATAAACCAAGGGTATTTGTGTAAAAGTGAATATAATGAATCTGATTGGAATTTGAATTTGGCTTACTGATTAACAATACAGTGTTGTTATCCATTATACCACCAGTACTTCCAAGTTTACATCTTGTACACCTGACAATCCCTAGCAGTCACCCATCTAAGTAATGCATAGGTTGGACATTGCTTAATCTTGGTGATTGTACTTATTAAATAGAATATATATTTGGTTGGCTACTTATATACATATTCATTAAGACATTATTTCATTAGGTTAGTTTCATAAAAGATTTCATCACTAACTGAACAGCTTTTATACAAAAATTTCATTGGTAATTTAAAAAGTTAACAAGAAAGTTTCTTGAATATATTTGACGAGTTAAATATAACAAGGGAATCAAGTTATTTTGGTAAGAGATTCTATGACAATATAAGCTGATACAATCTTGTTCACATCTGTGTACACTGAAACCTTGGAAAGGGTCCACTGCATGCTCACAAAATAATAGAGATGAAAAACAAACATCATGTTGAGAAATGAGAATGTAAACTCTGTTTCTAATATCATATATCAGATGTTTTATTCAGTTTATTTATTTAATTTAGCCTGAATGGGTTACTTAATGCTGACAATATTGTTAGAATAAGTTTATATGAATAGAATATTTTTTTTTTTTTTTACGCATACATTATTTTTTGCTTGTATAACTTTTTTCCTTTTAGTTTTTACACGTCAAACCTTCAGTCTTTTGGGACAGGGTATATCATTATTATACTAGTTATTTATCTTTTGTAGGGTAGTTTATTGGAATTTTAACTTTAAGAACAGCACTTGTGTGTGTGTATGTATGTATGTATATATATATATATATGTGTGTGTGTATATATATATATATATATATATATATATATATATATATATATATATTTATGTGTGTGTGTGTGTCCGTGTATGTGTATAGGTATATATGCGCACACATCGATTTTTTTTTTTTTGACTTTCGTAATTCTAAGTTTTTGCAAAAACTCATTCTTTCAGGGGATTAGGGAATTACTGTTTTGTACATAATTTTAGACCAAAAGTCATATTAAATTATAATACATGAAAATTTTTTTTTTGGCTTGGGATAACATAATAGTAGCATTTCAACTGTAAACTGGAAAACTTGTATAAACACATACAGATTTAGTCTATTGTACTCAAATCTTTATAAGTACATTTATTTTAATTGGTTAACCTACAGTCATTCTGGATGGGGCATATTATTATTATTATTACTGTTTTTAATATATAAACTTAAAAACTAGCAACAAATTAAAAAAAAAAAAATTTCTTCCTTCCGATTTTTTTTTTTTTTTTTGAATAACCCAACTTACCTGAGCGCTATGGACTTTCCCTATGTGCTAGTATCGAGTACAAGTCGGCTGAGACAATTATAAAAACCAGTGTCGTATAGCGTGGTACAGAAGGAGGGTGTGTCGGAGCCTGATCAGCTCTGATGGGGTCGACTCAGTGAGGATGGTATGATGTTTCAAGGCCCGAAACTATCCAGTGACCTGAGTAATTACATCACTGATGACACCCTCCTGCACAATAAAAGTGCGTATTTCCGAAGCTCTTCTCTCTGCAATACAGTGACTTCCAGGCAAGTCTGGATGGCTACTAGGAATTAGACTAGATGACAAACTGGAAAGACAGTTTGACTGTGCAGAAAGACCATAAAAGAAGTATGGCTGGGTTAGCACCCCGCCATGTGGATCTAAAAACCCTGCTAAAAACGATGACACGAATCAATACACCCAAGGGGTCACGAGAGGGGGAGAGGATGAGAGCCCTAACAGGACGGCTTGCCCGGAAATGACCTACAATATGAATATTCGGACCATGAGTTTGACATGCCCATGCAGAAGAAGCTGCAAAAATATACACGGTTTGTGAATTCACCAGGCCAGAATGAAATGTCAGAGGGAGATAACATCAACGCAATGCACAGGAACTTCTCCTGGTCAGACGGAGGAGGAGCAGGGCCAGGAAGCTCACCACAGTGCCCAGTCTCTCCATGCTAGTAATGATATCCCCCCTTATAACAAGAAGCTCTGCATTTCACAAGAAACTAAAAATGGCCAACAGCCGCAGAAAAACAAGCCTGGCAAGAATTCGATATGGACATCTGCAACGTTCTTAACACCGTAAGTAAAGGATCAGTAGACCGACGACTCCAGACAATGTCAAAAATTATTTTCACTTACGGTGCAGAGCGTTTTGGGTACACAAAAGAAAGAAAGAGCGCTATTAGGAAAGAAAATCGGAGAGAAATAAAAATCAAGGAATTAAGACAAGAGCTAAAAACCCTTAAAAAGTCCTACAAATCCGCTCCCCCAGAAGGAAAAGAACCGCTTCGAGAACTTAGGGAAATAATTAGAGGCAAATTAAAGTCTATTCGCAGGGCAGAATGGCACAGGAAGAGGAGGAAAGAAAGAGCACAAAAAAGAGCAGCATTTATCTCTAACCCATATGGTTT